CTGCTCTCCCCGTAATCGAAAACGTCCCCATTTCATTCACTTGCCCCCAAACGGGGTCTCGATCGGCGAGCCTAACGTTCTGCCGAGATGGAAGAAGCCTTCGCCGTAATCAAAACAAAACGTTTCTTTCTTTCTTTCTCTTTTCTCGTAGTGAAAACAAGGAAGGATCCGTTATCAGACTAAATTCGGGATGAGGCCTAAAAAGGAAGCATTTCCGCAAGCCTTTGATATAATACATCTTAAATGCGCAATCATTTCTCTTCAAAGATCGGGCCCCTGTCGGTGGGAATCAACATTTTTTTGTTTACTTCTTGCGCAGTCCCATTAAAAATAAACAACCAACGGAGTAATCCACAAGCATTTCCCTTTATTGTCTTCCTTGCCATTCCAAGCGTCCTTCGTGGTATCAAGTATCCACTGCCCAACACTGCCCCTTCCCATGCCCATCGCTCCTCTGCGACGCTCCCGCCCCTGTCAGCGCCGTGCCCTGCGCCCTGAACCTTACAAAAATCCCACTTTGCCAGGGGTATGAAGCGCTGCCCCTTATTCCCCTTCCCCCTGTTGCATCCTGCTCCGTCCCCTCAAACCCTCATTACACCTACCCTAACACTCGGGCATGACCCCTCCTCGCCTTCCCTTCTCCGCTCGGCGAATGAGTTTACTCTGGTTCAGCAGTTCGGCTAACCTACGCCTCGACTGTAAGCTGCCAGAAAAACAAAAAGGTTTGAGCGAGAGAACCCGACGGAGCCCCTGCCTCGCTCGCCTCCTCCCCCTCGCCCTCTCTCTTTCGTTCATTCTCTCTCCCTTTCTCTTTCTTTCTTTCACTCTCTCTTTTCCATTTTCTTTCTTTCTTTCCTTCTTTCTCTCTCTCTTTTTGTCATTATATTTTCTTTTCTTTCTAACTACCTACCTCCCTCCTTCCATCTCTCTCTCAGAGCAACTAAACAATATCCATATGACTTCCGTTCGGTTCCCTTTTGTTTGTTATAAATGTAATTCACTGCCGCTAAAAGAGCACTGATTCCACTCATTTCTCTCTCATCTGTAAGAAGCAGAAACAATCCCTACGAAATCTCACCCGAGACGACGCAGGCTGAAGACAACACATAAAGCAGAAGAACGAATAAAAAAAGGGAGGAAGAAAACAATTTGTGCAAGTCTCCCCTCTCGGCCGCGTTTTCATCATGAGGACGAAGCATTAGGCTACGAAGGCAAACCAATGGTGTCATATTTCGCCATCATGTACGGGGGAAACATTTCAGAATAACATCTCTTCGGGCAAACACGCTTAGCGTTTATGGCTGTCGGGGTTTTCATGTTTATAACCGCCTCTTTAAAATATCTGCCTCGGCGAGTTTCTTCCCGAAAATGAGAGGGAAAAATTGTTTGGCGAAGCGCTGTGGGAGCGCCGGGCCCGCCTCCAGTACGACAGCGACTACAGGGCCTGTCAAAGCCTTCTGTTCAACCGCGGAATTGATGCTTTCTTCATCACTGCGATCTTCCTTTTCCTTTCCGCTCCCCGCCCGCCGGGACGGAGAACACTCACGCCCATCCATCACGCCTCGCCCTCGACGTCTCGCAACGCACTCGGCCGTGTCATGATACTCTTACTGTCAATATCGTATTTGTGATCCCGACGTATTTAGTCTCGGCATGAAGCGCGCTCAGCCTTGCGCTCCCCAGCCGCGACCCCGCCGCGCTGGCTTCAGCGACGAAAGCTCCTTCGACGGTGGAGCAAGAAGTGCGGCTTTAAGCGCTCCCTCTCAAAGTCACGTACGCAAACAAGGAAATACAACCTTTGTTACTACAGATACTATAAGAACAGCAATAACGTGCTGTTGCTGCTGCTTCGCTCCCCTCGCTCGCCCCTTTGCCCTTCCCTTTCTCGGTCCCGAACGCGCTCGCAGCTGATAATACGGCGACGTTCCCTGTCACAGCAGTCTTCGGCCACTGCTCCCTGCCAGCGGCATCGGAACACGGCGTCCCTCCCACGGCATCCATCAGCATGTCGCAGGCATAAATCCCATTAGGGATTTACCACATCGCCCATCAAAGTGCAGTTCCCTGTCATGCTTATTAATGTGCAGTCCTCTGAAACAGCCCCATAATAGTGTACATCCTTCTGGCGGCGACCATCCATCATGCTGCAGCTCCCTGTCAGAGAGCTTATCAGCGTGCCCCTCTCGGCCTCAGCGCCCCAGAGCCGTCGCTCATTCGGCTGCTGCGTCGCGGAGGGGCTCGGAATCCCGGACCTTCCCCTGCAACGCCTCGCCAGCGCCCAGGCCAAGCTCGGGCCCCGCAGGACTGTCCATCGCGATCCCTGGCTCTGCTCGGACGCAGGGCAAAGGAGCCCCCCCCCCCCGACAGTGATCTCAGCCCTGCCTAAGCCGAGGGTCCAGCGGCAGCCCGATCGGCCGCGGCTCCGGGTCCCCTCCTCGCCTACTTGATATTCCGGACACATGTTATCCTCGTGAGCCCCGACACATGTTCCTCAGCGCTCCTTCTGCATCATCCCCGCCTGCGCGTCACCACCGCCGACACCACACTCCGGCCGCCGCTGCGCTTCCTTCGCGTTCTCGACGACGTCGCGCGGCAAGAATACCCCCCCCCCCAGTCACACAGGGTGGACCTCCGGACTTCCAAGGTGTCGCCGGGAGGAGGAGGCAAGGTCACGGCACGCGAGGAGAGCTCTTGCCGAGTGTTGCTAGGGTGTGGCGTCTCCGGCCGCGGTGTCGTCAGGGTGTAGTGTTGCCGGGATGGGCGCAGAGCCTGGGTACGGCGGACAATAAAGTGCGAAGCGGGTGATAAATCAAGGGTTTGCGCAGGGCGACGCGGGGTCAAAGGTCAAAGCCAAGTCATTTCGCCGCTTATTTACGCTCTAAAGTATACAGGTACAGCGACTGCGCCTGCGTCCGCACGCACAAGCTCTTTCAAAAAAGTGTGCGTGTAGAAGATTCACTTTACTCATTTATCGAAACATTTCTGGCAATGAATGTCTGTCTGTCTGTCTGTCTGTCTGTCTGTCTCTCTCTCTCTCTCTCTGTGTGTGTGTGTGTGTGTGTGTGTGTGTGTGTGTGTGTGTGTGTGTGTGTGTGTGTGTGTGTGTGTGTGTGTGTGTGTGTGTGTGTGTGAGAGCGCGCGTAAGCGTGTGTTCGTATGCGTAGCCTCCGCACGCGCTTCTGTTCATTCTTTTCACCTAAACACATAAAAAACGGCTAATCACCACATTCCTCGAATAATAATAAAAAAGAGAGAAAAATGTATCAATTCCATAGCCGTGTGGGAAAAAAACATTAATATGTGGCATCATTAATGGGCGTGTGTGCGGTCTCATGTGACACATTACGGAGATGGAATGGACATGGTGTCATAGGGGGTAGGGAGGGGAGGGGCTGGGGATGGGAGAAGGTAATGGGGGAAGGGGGGAGGGTGACGGAGAAGGAGGGGGAAGAGAGGAGAGGGGAAGGGGGGAGGAGCGAGGAGAGGGAAAAGGGAGAGAAAGCGAAGAGGGGGAGTTGGAGGAAGAAAGCGTGGAGAATGGGAGGAAAGGAAAGAGCGAAGGAGGAAGGAGTGGGGGGGGACGGGCGAAGGAATGGGGGAAGAAGGAAGGGGAGATTGAAGGAGTGTATCGGAGGGGAAGAGGGGAGGAAGGAAAGTACGAAAGAATGGGAGGGGAGGAGAGTAGAGAACGAAGAGGTGGAAGAGACAGCGGAGGAGGGGGGCAAGACAACAGAGGGGAGAAGGCGGAGGGAAGGGAGAAGAAAGCGGAGGGAGAAGAGAGCGATGGAGAGAGAGCGAGGAGGAGAGGAGAAGAGAGCGAAGGAAGAAGAGAGGAGGGAGAAGAGAGCGGAGAAAAAGAGTATGAAGGTGAAGGAGAAAGAGAAAAGGTTGAAAAAAGAGGAGAGGGGAAAAGAAGAGAAAGGGAGAAAGAGTTGGTGAAGAATGAGAAGAAGGAGAGAGGAGAGAGGAAAAGAGGAGGGGGGGGGGAACAAAGTGTTAAGCGACAAGAACGGAGGCGAGTGAATATGAAATAATAAATAAACACAAAGAAAGAAAACGGCGGGGAGGAGAGACCAAGGAAAGGGGGATGAAGAAACGACGAGAGAAAAGAAGACGAGGATTGGGAAGAAGAAAAATGGAGAAAATTGTAGAAGGAACAGATGAAAGATTGCAAAGACAAGGAAGAGGAGAAGGAATAACAGAAGAGAAGAAATGTTGATTAAAAAGCCGAAGAAGGAGAGGAAGCAAGAATATACGAAGAAGATAAAGGCGAAGAAAAGGAGGAGAAGGAGGAGGAGGAGGAGGAGAAGGGGAAAAAGGAGGAGAAGGGGAGGAGGAGGAGGGGAGAAGGGGAAGGAGAGGAGGAAGGGGGAGAAGGGGAAGGAGGAGAGAAGGGGAAGGAGGAGAAGGAGGAGGAGAAGGGAAGGAGGAGGAGAAGGGGAAGGAGGAGGAGGAGGAGGAAGGAGAGAGGAGGAGGAGGAGGGAGGAGGAGGAGGAGGAGGGAGAAGGGAAGAAGGAGGAAGAAGGAGGAAGGAGGAGAAGGGAAGAAGAGGGAAGGAGGAGGGAGAAGAGGAGGAGGAGGAGGAGGAGGAGGAAGGAGGAGGAGGAGGAGGAGGAAAAGGAGGAGGAGAAGAAAAAGAAGAAGAAGAAGAAGGGGGGAGGAGAAGAAGGAAGAAGGGTGGAGGGGGAGGAGGAGGAGGAGGAGGAGGGAGGAGGAGGAGGAGAGGAGGAGGAGGAGGAGGGAGGAGGAGGAGGGAGGAGGAGGAGGAGGAGGGAGGAGGAGAAGAGGAGGAGAAAGGGGTAGAGAAGCAGAAGAAAGGACAATGCTCCCGAAAAAAAGAAGCAGAAAGAGTTAAACACACGCAAAAACACACGCAACAAAGCTAAACAAAACGCACAAAAAAGCAACCCACTTAAAAACAAAAAAATTCTCCCACCCCACTTCCTCCCCCCGCCCCCCTCCTCCAACATACCCACCCGATCCTCAAATCCAAAGCACG